AAAAAAAGAGAGAGAGAGATTTCATGTACATCATTTTTGTTGATGCAAGCTTATCAAATGATATTTTTTTCAGAAAAAATAAATAAAGTTAAAAATATGTGATTACACAAAAAAAAAACAAAGTAAAAATCAACATTAGAAAACGTAACAATTCAACTAATAAATACTCGGTTTTATAAATCACTAAATCGATTTACAATTAAGAGACCCAATGAGTAAAGGGTTATGCTACATTGTCCACCTCCATTACAACTTGGTTTACAACCACGTGTAATGGAGGTTGGCTAAGTAGCATAATTCATGAGTAAATCTTTATAAATATTTTTAAAAGTTTATCTAAAAAGTTAAAAAATATAACGATTGTCAGCATATTTTTCAATAAACAAATAATATTATTCATTTAATAAAAGTAGCATAGATATAAGTTTTAATTAGTAATGATATAGGATATTATACCCACAGGGCTAAACCGGTCGGCTGAACCGGTCGAAGAGGCCATACCGTGAAGAAACCAAGCCGAGTGGCGAAAAAATCGACCAGCCAACCAATCGACCAGTCAAGCAATAGACCAATCCATCATTCGACCAGGTAAACGGTCGGGCAGTTTAGTCGAACTCAACAGGTCGACCACTTCGCGGACATAGCGCTTTATGAATTGGCCTAGTCACAGGCGGGTGTAAGAGTCTTTAACGAAATTTCAGGAGAACATTCACTCCATATGCAGAAGGACACGTGTCGAGAACACATTGGTTGATAGCGACAACCACTTCTGACAGCTCCCAACGTCCCGCGCTACCTCTGACATGCGCGCGGTGTGTCAGAGTACGGGCGGGCAGCTTGGGCAGCCAACTCACCAAATCCGGGCAATCTTAGGTCAGGTATCTCACTCCTATATAAAGGGGGTGAGCCTTTTTTCCTTAACACGATTTTTCCATTATTCAACTCCAGTATACTTATACACATACTGACTTAAGCATCGGAGGCTCTTCACCGGACACAACCCCGGTGTGAGAGTTATTTGCAGGTTTCCAGCGTTCTACCGGCGAAGGCGAGGTTCGATCCATCCTAAACCGGGCCAGGACGCTCACACTTGCATCAAGTAATATATTGTAAATATTTTTTTACATTTTTTTACATATTTTTATAGTATTTTCTTTATATATATATTGAATTATTTTTTGTATTTGTATACATAATTTACAGTATTATATAATATATATATATATATATATATATATATATATATATTGATCTTTAAAAAAAAATACAGGGGGGGCCCCTGGACACCATGTACCTCCGTCACTGCTGAACGATATGCGATTTGTGCTCGGGCCCTCCCCGAAAGGTGTTGAGTTGAGTCTATGATTTTTGGTTGAGACAAGAAATTTTGGATGTAATTGAGTAGATGTAACTATTGGGTAACTGTATTATATTGTGGTGCTTGGATATTGAATTTGTGTGATCCTGCCGATGATATCATAGGGCCGAAGGAATAAATTTTCTGCTAAGAGCATCTTTAATCACAAAGGTTTATAAACCTTACTTTTTACATTCAATACTCCACATCATCTAAACCACATTCTCACTCTCAATATCACAAACCTCCAATAACTATAAATCTCACAAACCTTCTTTGAGTGGGCCTCTATGTTTCCTATGGGTGCACATATTGCGGTTAACTGACCGAAACCGACCGAAACCGAAATTTCGGTTTCGACAGAAACCGAAACCGAAAAATTAGTTCGGTTTTCGGTTACTAGTTTCCCAATATTTCGGTTTTCGGTTCGGTTTGGCTATAACCTGTCGGTTAACCGAACCGAACTGAAAACCGATAATATACATATAATATAAAATGCCCAATATAAATGTTATATTATACAAGACCAAAAGCTGCAACAAGTCACCCACCACAAATCACTAAAGCAGGCCCAATGCATTATCACTGACACTCATCTTTCATCGACCCATATTCACAATTTGTCAGATAAATTGTTATGCATTTTGGTCGATAATAATTTCAGGACAAGTTTTTTTTTTTTTTCCTTATGCATTTTGGTTCTTTTTTTTGTAAAATTATTAAGTAGTATCTATTGTTATTTGTAAATTTTATTTTTTTTTCATTTATTTATTTTATCGGATAGCCGATAACCGAACCGAAAAAACTGATATTTTTTTGATTAAAAACCGAACCGAACCGCAATTTTAGGTTCGGTTTTCGATTTTAATATTGGACGAACCGATATCAAGTGTTTGGGGCCCACAACTACACCACAACACCCGGTTCCACACTTCTATTTCCTCTCTTTAACCATAAAGTTGCAGTAGTACTACCGTGTGCCCTAGTACACCTAGCTAGGTGTGCCAGGGCAATTTTGCACGCGCCCCCTCACTCCAAAAACTACAAAATTTAGAGAGTGTAGTACACATTCCTATTTTTCCTTTTTAAATTGAAAAATGAGACATATTGCATAAATTACAATATCATTAATTATTTATATTAAAAAATAAAATTAAAATACCAAAATTCATAATTTTTCATTATCTATAAATAGAGACCACATTTGATAGTTTTTGAACACAACTAATTTTTCATAATTATTTTATTATACTGACATATAATGAATTAATTGTAAAAAAATGAACAAGTTCATCTTATTCTATAACATGTTCATTTTATTATGTAACATGTTCATCTTATTTTAGAACATGCTCATCTAAATTTCATCTGTGAAAATGTAACATTTTCATCTTATTCCATGACATGTTCATCTTACTCTATAACATGTTCATCTTACTATGTAACATGTTCATCTTATTATGTAACATGTTCATCTTATTATAGATTTGCGTCATAATCTTCCAATAAGATAAATTAATTGTAAAAAATGAACATGTTCATCTTATTCTATAACATGTTCATTTTATTATGTAACATGTTCATCTTATTTTAGAACATGTTCATCTAAATTTCATCTCTGAAAATGTAACATTTTCATCTTATTCTATGACCAGTTCATCTTACTCTATAACATGTTTATCTTACTATGTAACATGTTCATCTTATTATAGATTTGCGTCATAATCTTCCAATAAGATAAATTAATTATAAAAAATGATAAATTAATTGTGTTCCAAAAAATATCAAATGTGGTCTCAATTTGTAGAGAATGAAAAATTATGAATTTTGGTATTTTTATTTTTATTTTTTGATACAAAATATGAATGATAATTTAATTTATATAATATGATATATGAAATTCATTACCCAATAGAAATGGGACACATGTCCCATAAAAAAAAAAAATATATTTTACTTCCTTACCTCATGCGCTTTTGGAGGGGGTGTGTTTCACAAAAGGCCCTGGCACACCTAGCAAGGTGTGTCAGGGCACACCTAAGTATTTGCGATAAAGTTGTGGGAGTAGGGTTTACAAACCTCTCCAAAAAAAACTCCTATTAAAGTTGCTCTAAGGTGTGTTTGGGACGTAAGGTGAGGGAATTATTTTAGCATGATTGAAGGTCATTTATTTCATTTTCTGAATAGCATGATTGGCACAATACTCTTAATAATATCGGTAATTAGGAATGAAATTAAGAGCTAATTGAACTTGCTATTAAGCTCCCATTGGAATTCCTAACTTCAAAATTTTGAAATTGAATTTCAAGAGATGGTTCCCAAATCTCATGAAAAGGGCCAATTTTAAAATCATAAAATATCATGAAAAATGTGGTAAAAATTTAACCCAGTCCAAGGTACGAATGACAAACAAAAAGGCTCGCAATAATCCACGCGATTGAACTGGAATTCCACACGATACAACGAGCGGCGAAAAAGATAGGCGATGGACAAATGAATATAAATTATAACGGCGAACGAACTTGCATCGGGCAACGACAGTGAGCGGTTTATCAACGACAAGAAAATAATAAATAATTCAACTAATTGGATTAATTGGATGGAGCCATACCTTTAATCGAGATAACTTAAACGAGGGCTTGAAATATCAACTCTGAGGTTTCGGTCCAAGGTTCCAAGAAGACAACGCAAATGGTTCGAATACAAATTAAATTAGATTAAATTCGGTTTACGCAATTAAACCGAAATTGCCGAACGACTAACGTTTTAAAAATAAAAGGAATGAGTACTCAAATATATTATTTTAACTTGGGAATTAGGTAAAGTGATTTTAACTTGAGAATTAGTCTACTTGGCGGAGTTCCTAGGCTCATCTTTACACAATACGCTTTGTTGTAACACAATTATCCAAAAAATTGTAAAATTAGAGGAGAAGACAGAAATAAGATCCCATCATATATCTTACACATTTACTCGTGTCCAATATTCTCTGCTTGCAATTATAAATGTATCATTCACTACTGCATTGTTATACGTAACAATTCAGTATTAAAACACAAGTGAAATTGGAATATTTCCGCAGCTTGTGTCCAATATTCTCTGCTTGCAATTATAAATGTATCCTTCACTACTGCATTGTTATACATAACAATTCAGTATTAAAACACAAGTGAAATTGGAATATTTCCGCAGCTTGTGAGCTACAGAAGGCTGTGCTTAGTGGGGTTCTAGACCAAGTTGCTTGCGGGTTTTCCCCACAAACAAGTCTCCCGATTTTATGATTCCAGGAATGCGGCCACACATAGTCAGGCACATAATTTGCGCCACTCCCTCTCTTCTGCCAAGTGAAACGAGTGCCATTGTTGGGCCCGGCTTATAAGTTGACAGCTTGCTCTTGCTTTCTCCCTGCATTAACAACTTGACGTTCTTCGCAGCAATTGATGCGTGCGCATGAGCCAAGTATCCTTGTTTGAGTTCCTGCAATATTTCAAAGAAAATTATGTAGACTTTAACAAAATCATCTCAATGACCACTCCATGTATAGTAGCACAATGGTTGCTTGTATTGTTTTCTTTTGACAATGTAGCCTAAGAATCTCTTTTTCATATTCATGAATATATAGTCAACAACATCAATGTGACATCTAGTTCTAGTGCTTTAGATGAGTCGAGCTGAACCATACTCAAAATTGTTCAAGATGCTTGTTAGAGAAAATTACGAACTTTAATAATTATGTTTGAGGGATTTGAGCTCAGACCAGCTTTAATCGAGTCAAACACAAATCGAGCTCGAGTAGTTGATTTATTTGCATTTGTTATTTATCGAGCACTCAAATAAACGGACATGAACCAACTGCCAAGTAGCATATTTTGATTTCCATCCATAACGATATCTAAGTTGTAATTGAGGTATAAAACTTACAGGAATATCAGTAATATCGCCGATAGCAAAGATGTTGGTGTGACCCTTGACCCTTAGATTTGCATCGACCATCAGCCTCCCATGCATGTCTAAGCTGTCCTTCAAAATGGTCTCTTTTAGCCAAGACGAACCAAGAGGGCTGCCGGTGCAAAGGAAATGGCAATCGGCAATAATCTTCTCGCCACCTGACGTCTCGTACACACCCTCCACTCCGGAGTTCAGCTTTACTGACTGGCCCAAGATGACTTCGACCTTCTTTGAAGTCAGCCACTGCAAGGCTTTTTTTCCAGCCTTTTTACCGATAAACTCGAGTAGCCTTGATCCCCTGTGCACCAGGGTCAACTTCTTGTCAGGAAAGTCAACTATGATCTCAGCAGCTAATTCTACACCACTAGGCCCTCCCCCAACGATCAATATTGATTTTGCCGACTTTATCTTTTCTTGCTCTGCAAAAGGAAAACCAACAAGAGGCCAACAACTAGACTAGTATCAATGCAAACATTGTAAAGAATTTCAATGTCTATAGTGATGTGACAAGCTGCTTTGGCGATTAACTGAAACTCAGCTTATTTGGAAGAGAATAATAGTTACATTTTTCAAATTTTCCTGTTTTAGGTAAAACAGGATATAAGAATTTTGGTTATGTGAAAAAGGGATGACTACAAAAAACGTAAAATTAATTCCCATTTCCAAAAACTTCAACTGTCGTATAGATTACGAATACCCCCTTAATGTTACCTCTCCAAAGGTGTGCAGCTACCTGGAACTCTTGAGGTGTGATTTGTAAATTAGAAACAAACGTAAAGGGAACTTGCATTTTAGAAAGATAACTGAGATTCTGTTATTAGGCTAAACCTCATTGATAACTTTAATAACACAAACACTAAAAATAACTTTATACATGTGACAAATAAAACAACATAAAATAGTTGATAAATGGCCCTGAGTAGACCTCATCCCCAAAAGTTAGCTCCAAGGGAGAGGGTCCTTATACACAGTAACAGCCCAGTAAGTTATACATGCGGGACAAACATAACTTCTAACAATGATAATCATCACAAGCACAGTTATGTAGATGGTGGCCACAAGGACGACTTCAATGATAAGAATGAAGATGAGAGTAAGATAGCTAGCATGGGCAATTTATATTTCCATTTCATAAGCTCAATACGATGATAAATTTCACTTTTGTAATTACTGATAGGGACAAACGATATTGAGAGAGCAACTGAAGCAAACAAGTGATTAAGGTAACACAACTTAATCCTCATCACATCTTAACTGCTGATGCACACAAAATTAAAGGAAAGAGGAACTTAAACTTCGGTAACTGAAAAGTTCTTTTTATTTTTATTTTTTTCACCTGCTTGGTAGTGATTAAGCCTCTCAGCTCTTGTACGCAGACCAGGATCTACATGTCCAGTGGCAATGACAAGATAATCGTATGAAATTACATGGCCTTCTGAAGTCATTACATCATTTTGAGTGATGCTAGTTGCATAAGATGTAATAACATGAGCATTAGGAAGGTATTCAGAGTGGTTAATCACCGTTCTCTCTGCAAATGAAGGTTCAACCATTGCCCTCAAGTTTGCCCAAGTGATCTCAAAAAATTCCTTCCTGCAATGATTTTGACAACAGTAGTGACTTCAAATCAAAAGGATCCTAGTGTATCACACAATAAAATAAAACTATAAGGTGTAAAACAGTGCATATATCCGACTGCAAATAGGGTTTGATAAAAAAAAATTCAAAAGATCACTTACTATGACTGTGGTTGGTAAGACTTATAGTACTAGTTTGAAATTTAAATGCCTATCGAACCACCAGGCACCACCGACATGATAAGGTAAATGCTGGGAAATGTAAAATACCCAAAGGTTATAGCAAACAACTAAACCACCCTACTGCAATCCAAATGGTCCCCTATATTATTTATAGATACAAAAGAGGATCAAAGAAACAACAAAAGTTTAAAAGCATTTAGAGGAAATTGCACTCCTCCTGTCCGAAAACAGCCTGACATTGTGATTTCCACAAATATTAATTGAAAACGGTAACATTCTCCCGTCGTATTCATTATCATTCCATTTCTTGATTATAACAAGCAGCCCAGTACAATATATTATTATCTATCCTCAAGAGAAGTAGAGAACCATTATGAAAAACAATATCTGGTGGAGCAACCAGATATGTTGCTGAAATAGAGCTACAAAATAAAAAAAAAAAAAATTAAGCAAATCTCATAAACCTAATTTGGATCCAAAATTGCGTGTAGAGATTCTCAAGACCAGAGATAATCCCAATACATTCACTTCACCAGTCAAAACCCACAACAGCTACACCCATCACAGATTAAACAGCAGCATTAACAGACCAAATGGGTCAAATGAACATGAAATAAGAAAAGACACGAAAGAGCTATTACGGATCTATGAGAAAAACATCAGCTTCGTCCTGAAGGGTCTTGGCGATAACAGAGCCGGCAACTCCACCGCCAACCACCACCACCACCACCCTCTTCTTCTCCCCAACCAATGCCGCCATTTCTATTTCCCCCTTTACAAATCTGGCAAAATGGGAATCAAATCTCTGCCCGAACGCTTGTCCAATTATCTTTTCTTGCAACAACGTCAATATGGATCCAAGTCAAACCAAAAAAGAGAGTTTTTCCCGTCTGCAAGGAAACAATGTGAGCATGTGAAAATAAACAAAGTTTGTATGCCATCTAACACCGTGTCCTGCTGACGCAAAAAAAAAAAAGACTCGGTTTACCTCTAAGTCTATTTTAGACTCAAGTAGAGACCTAGTCTCTATTGGAGTGTATTTTATCAATTTTACCTAATTTTATCTATGTCATCCAAAATAGGTTTATTTACATGTCACATAGGCAATACTAGACCCAATGCATTGTAAATGTTATCTATACTAGTGCCAGAGTGCCGACAAACATTTTGATTTGGACGATACAAAACATAAAAAGCATTTATTGTAATAAAGTAAAATATTGTTTATATATTATTAAACTAGTACAAATTCCGTACGATGCACGGTTAAGAGATATTCATTGATACTTATAAATTAAAAATAATTATTAAATAATTATAAATTAAAAAATAAAATTAACATGTAATGCTCCTCTCCTCCATATATTAATTTATTTCAAATATTATATAAAAGATAATTTGTGCAAAATTATATAAAACATGTCTATTGAAATTAGTACACAACTTGTACGGTACACATAACATGTAATAAATTAAATCATATTCCTATCAAAATAAGTGTCAATTTATTTATTTTTTTCTCTTGAATACTAAATTAAATTTTAGATGTCTGAATTTTGTGATTGAATTATTTGTAAAGTGAAACGTTATATTTTTCAAAATTCATGTAAAACTGAGATAATATATATAATCATGTACAAATTTGATTACCAAAGAGACAAATAGAGGACATAAAATTATATTTTAGCTTTCTTAATCATTTATATAGAAATAGAATTATAATTTATATTAACCATGACCTAATTTTTATTATTTACAATAATTTTGTTGTTCACTTTAAAATTGCAATTATATTTAGATAGATTTTGTTAATAATATATAGAATTTAAGCAGATTTAATTTCTCTTATCCACTCAATATATAATTTTAGAACGTGCTGAGTCTAAGTGGCAAGTTCGCATGCTTCGAATGTTGACATATTAAAATGATGTGCTTCGTAATTCTGTTTGTATAGATAATATTGCTTTGAATTTATGTTTGGTACTTCACATAAATAGTTTATTTTCAATTTTGGAAATTATGCATTTATATTTGTCATTTTTTCTCTACATGGCATGTGATTTTTTTTCTAAGAGACCCAGTAGCCTAGTTATACTTACAATTTGTAATATTTGCCCATATATAATTCACATCAGTTGTATTTTTATTGTGTAAAAAGTCATAATAAATAAACAATTTAGAAAAAATTATAAGATAAATTTAATTCATAATTTCTTTAACTAAAGATTACATAATATAGAATAAATAATTCGAATAACATAAGTTAAATAGCTTAAAAGTTTATTTGTTTTTAATTTAGATTTTTATAAGTTTTTTTTAAATATATGATTACAAAAATCAAATGATACACTTTATTCTTAAAGTTAGTGTTTTAGTAAATGTGTATCTTGAGATATTAGAGACTTATATATGTGATTAGTATTACCATAATAAATCAATCTCAATTACCTAAATTGTACCTTTAAAACATACCATAAAATGTTTAAATAATTTACAGATTTAGTAAATAACATTTTTTGGTGGGAAATAGTTACTATTTAAAAAATAATCAAACCTTTTTATAAATACTAGTACAAATCCCGTGCGATGCACGGGTAAGAGATATTCATTAATATTTATAAAATAAAAGTGTTCACTAAATAACATTTATAAATTAAAAATATGGAATTAATATGTAATACAATGTACCTATATTAATTTATTGAAAATGTTATATGAAATTTAAATTATTCAAAATCACATAAACATGTCAATGTAGAATTATTACATAACTCGTACTTTGCTTAACAGATAGTAACTTACATTATATTCATATCAAATAAGTGTCATTTTAAACTTTTTATTCACAAATTTGATTTGAATACAATGTGGTTTCCTATAAAATTATATTGGTAAATTTTTTTTTGATTATATTTAAATGACTATGTGAATAATAAGTACAATATTAATTTTTATATTATTTAATAAAATAAAATAAATAAATATGTGTATAAACTATCCAAATGAAAATTTTAAATAGTTGAATAATTAATTAAACTATAAATAGTTGACTATTCTATTTACGTCCAACTTAATACTGACTCGTAAGTTATGAATAACTACTTATTTGTATTTTAAATTTTATTATATTTGGATTACACTACAAATCTTTTATATATATATATATATATTAGGGTTAACTGCTAAATAAACCTTAACCTTTTTGCGTTTAGCAATTTTATCTCAATCTTTGGGTAATTGCAATATAATCTCGACCTCAATTTACTTATTGCAAGTCGAACCTAAAACCGGTTGGACCTTCAAAAAACTGGTCGGTCTGAAGGTGGTTCGAACGGATCGTAACTCATATTTACCGGTTCACTCCAGATCTAGGAGGAAACTCATCATCGGTAGCATACATTGACGTGGAATTTTCGGCTATGTGCGTGGATATACATTAAATACGTGAAAATTGTCAACTTGCTACGTGAATGACATAAAAACCCGTGTCAATGGAAGATTTGGGCACAAAATCGATTCAAAAATCCCTAAAATCAATCATTCTGCACTCAAATTTGCAATAAGTAAATTGAGGTCGAGATTATATTGCAATTAGCCAAAGATTGGGATAAAATTGCCAAACGCAAAAAGGTTAAGGTTTATTTAGCAATTAACCCTATATATTATATCTATATTTTCCTAATATATATGAAAAGTATTTAATACCTTCCGCCTTTTCACGAATAATTATTTTGTATTTTGCAATTGTAGATCAATATTTACCAATATTACTTTCGACTTGGAAATTGAAAATGACTTAGATTTTATCCTTCTCGAATTTGTTGCAGAGAATAGGATTGTTAACACGCCGAAGCAAGCATGTTATGCATAAAAATAAAATTAAACAACTGGAAACAATATACATATATTTACTGCCAGCTTCTAAATTGTAGATATAGCCAAAATTCATTGTCGTGGAAAATAATTTCCAAATAATTTCAATAGGACGACTGAAATGTTCGTTTGAAAAATAATCAAACCTATATATATATATATATATATATATATATATAGATATAGATATATATATATATAAATGTATGGTATTTACCTGAAATAAAAACTAAAATCCCGCCTAAAATTTCAGAATTACTAAAATAAATAATTTTTTTTGAAAAAAATCAAAACATCCCGCCTAAATGTGTTATCAAAGTATTTAAAGGAAGCAATCACACAAATATTTTTTTTGAATACTATAACGCCCCGTTTGGTTATGAATTATTGGAGATTATTATTATT